CAGGTCTGTTTTGGAAAGTGCTCCCCCCACCCCTTAGATTTTGCTGAAATGGTTAGGTACTCTCTGTTCCAGATTGTTAGAATTCCTGTCCGGTGCACCCAACTCGGCTTGAGGTGGTCTTACTGGTGCAGGGTGGATGGTTCACAGGATGCCGGGTCCACAGTACACCATGGTTTGGCGTTTCTCTTCTTTGCCCTCTGCCTTCAGGGTTACGATCTGCTTAGACACAAATATTTCCTCTAACCTGGGTGGCAGCCTGGCTGGCCTCTGGCTCTTCAGTTGCAATCTTTCTCTTTCAGGCACCAGTAGCTTTTTCCCACGGTCTCCTTGCCCCAGATGGCAGGTGAAAAGCCCAGACTGTTCTTTTTTTACTGAGTGTCACTTGCTCTTTTTGACTGGAAGCTCTTAAGATTTTCTCTTCGGTGGTTAGAAATCCTACCAGCACGCACCAGGTATGCATACTTGTGCATCAGCTTTACCCGGCCCCCAGATGCCTTTCCTTCTACACACTTAGGCCTTTCTTTGAGGACTCAGTCTTGTATTTGTCCTTGAGTTATTGTCTCTCCTGCTCTCAGATTCCTGTGGTTATCTCTTGTGGCTCCTGGATCTGTCATCTCACCTTCCTTTTCTCTTGTGGAACCATACTGTCTTGGCCATTTTGTTCTAGGTGAGGGATGTCTAACCTTTTGACATATGACATGACATTGTCACTTACAAATGTGTTGGGTGGTATGCAGAGCTGTCCTGGGACCAGTGCAGGCCACAGGTTGGACACACCTATGGGACGTGAGATAATCCTTTCACTTTATCTTTCTGCTTATTCATGGGAGTCTCAGCAGTGATCCTACAAGATTTTCATTCATTCATCGAACTTCAGTTCCTACATGGCACACTTTTCAGCCCCTGATGCTCTGTTTGCAGCTCCTGGAGACTCGTGTTCATCGGATGCGTCGCTCTGATTCCTCTGGCCGCTCTGTTTCATTAGGAGCAGCTTTCCAGTTCTCACTATGGAGTTCAGGCTGGCCAGGAATTCGTAATCTTCCTGCCTCAGCCTCCCTAGTGATGCGATTACAGATGTGGGTCACCATACCCAGTTGAACCCTCTTTATATGTGCTATTATTTTTTTCTGTTTCTGCCTACAAGACTCTGCTCTGCCCTTCCTGCAGTGGGGTGTAATTCTTGGGGTGATGGGACAGTGGCTGGGACTCCCAGGAACTGGTGATGAGATAGTCAGCCCCCCCCCTTTTTTTTGGCCATCTTCATCCTGCTGGCTCAGTCCCAGAAGAAAAGTACTGGCTCCTCTATATAACTTTTCCTAAACTTCTAGGGGTGCATAGGGAAGTTTGGGGTCAGGCTTGCCCTTGGTTGCTCCTGTCATCCATGTGAAATTGCAAAATGAAACAAGCAACCTAGGAACAGAGAAGTGCTATCATTGTTTTGATGCTGAAAGCCAGAGACAGACATGTCTCCAAATACAGGTCAGGGCTCAAAAGATGTTTCTAATGGGCCCTTTTTCCCCTGTGCTTCAGCTCTGTCTGGCTGTCTCTTAGGCTTTGCTGACCCAGCTAGTGGCTCCTGCCTGGGGGCTTGGCTGTTCCTGTAGCCTGGAGCTTGTTTTCCTCAGATCGCACATGCCTCCCTCCCTCCCTCTCTCTCTCACTTCCCTCACTTATGTCTCTCCTCAAATACTCCTTACCCTGACTTATTCATTGTAGCACTTATTACTACAATACATGATATCTTAATGTTTTTACTTTTGTTAAGCCCCATAACAGCTACTTCCTGTTTTTCTTTTTTCCTAAGCACTGAAAAAACAGTCTTTGGCACACAGAAGGTTTTCATTAAATGTTTTAGGAATGGCTCACTGGTGGATGAGGAGGCATGGTAGAAGCCCTTAGAGAGACCGAAGGTACCTGCCATATTGCAGATAAGCTAGGGATGAGGGGCCTCCTAGCTTCCCACCTATAGCACAGTGTGAACTTATTGATGCTTCACTTCCCTAGCCAAGGAAAGAAGCGACTTAGGAATCAAGGTGGCCTCACGTGAGCACAGGGGCAAGGGTGGCATCTCCTAGAGCAGTGTCTGCTAGGTCCAGAGCTGCCATGTGGGTAGAGGCTGTACCCATCAGCTAAGCAGAAGTCATCCACACCACAGAGGGCTCTGGTGGGACCTAAGAATGTCATTATGTCTACTGTGGGCTTGTACAACCTCCAGGAAGATACAGTTTAAGATTATAGGCCCTGGGCTGGAGAGATGGCAGAGGTTATAACCACAAGTTGCTCTTGCAGAGGACCCAGGTTCCTAGCACCCACATGGCATCTGACTGCTCTCTATAATTCTAGTCAGGGTATCTGTTGCCATCTTTGGCCTCTGCAGACCCCAGGCACACATGTGGTGCACATACATGCATGTGTGTAAACACTCATACACATAAAATAAAAATAAATCTTTTTTTTTAAAAAAGACTATAGGCTGTTTGTAGTTCTCAGACTCCCTAGGGTCCCATCCCCTCTTACCTCCCAGCCTGTCCATCTTCCAGGAGAGGAACTTTAGGACTTGTGTCCACCCTAGATAAGCGGTGGGATGCTTAGTAGCTAGTGAGCAAGTATCCTCGTGGTCACTCGTTTTCTTCTTTTCTTGTGCTGTTTATTTCTCAGTTTATCTAAGGTTCTCCACCCCCCTCCAATCCTATGATAGGGGAGTAAGTAGATAAAAGAGAATAAAGGGTGCTTTTTCTCAAGAAAGAGAAGAGCTGAAGGGGTCCTTTGGGTCTCTGTAGTGTGGGTGGATATCAGCCCTGGCCCAGGGGTCCTTTCACATCAGGAAGAAGGGAGGGAGAGCTATTTATGGCAGCAGCCAAGTCCTCTAGCCACCTGCCAGGGCTCCAGGCCACTCCACCTGGTGAAAGGCAAAAGCTACAGCTTTGTCCTCATAATACAAAGCTCTCCTTTCTGCCCTTCTCAGGGCTGTGGAAGAGTAAAAAAGAAAACTTCACACACATCTCAGACTCCAGAACAGTGTTTTATCTTTCCCCAGGTGTGGGGATTGAATGATAGAGCTACAAGGTCAATGCAAACTGAAATGACAAATTATTTTAGGTAGAATTGTATCTATTCCTGGACAATCTAAAGAAATACTCTAAAGAAAAAGGTATTAAAAATTATCTGTGAAAAACCTGACAGATAAAATCCTGATGGAACCTCTGCGACACTTCCTGTGGTTGGTCGTGGGCATTCTCCCTCTTTCCCTGTGCTCCTCCTGTCTCAGATATGGGGCCGGCATGCACTTGGATTCCTCCTCCAGCATTCTCTGTGACCTTTGCTCTCCCTGACCTCACACCTGTGTGCCTGAACACCTTGGGCCTTCACTTGGCTGTGCTGCTGATGGGTGTTTTGTGGCAGTGGCCCTTGCTTGTCTTGGGAGTTACTCTCTGTCATCATCTTTTGTGACTTTTGTAAAATAATACATAGACTGGGGGGCCTATCAAAAACACAAATTTATCCTTTATAGTCCTGTAGGATGGGTGTCTGGGATCAGCTGCCTGTATGGCTGGGTTGTAGAGAGGTCTCCTCCATGAGACAGTGTCAGAAAGAGTCCAGCTACCTTGCTCCCTTCTATCTCTTTAGATAAGGGCTATTCTGAGGGCCATACCTGCCTCATTATACCATGACCTTGAGGATTAGCGTTTTTAACATGTGAATTAGGAGAGGGCACAAACCTTCAGGCTGTAACACACACTCCAAAAATAGCATATTGTCAGCAGCCAGTTGTGGGTGCCATGCTTGCATAGTTGACTGACAGCCTTTCTCCAAATGCACATGGCTGTCCTTATTCCACATGGGCTATGTTTCAGTTGAAGACATCTTACTTAGTGATTGCAGTGCTGTGAAAATCACACTGATCTATGGTACAGTGCTAGTGGAACTTAAGAAAAACAGGCAGTGCTGGTTATTTGTATGTTCCCTCTAGAGATGTTGATCTAAAAGAAGGAATTAAGAAAATCAGTCAGACATAGCGTCCCACCTCTCAGCCCCTCCACAACTTGCTGTTTGGAGGCATCCATTTCTCCATCCTGCTTTGTATGTCTTCATATGCATGCATACTACATACCGTACATGTATGTATTTTTGTAAATTGGATCATGATGCCTTTTAGATTCTGCTTCACACTTAAGCTGTATGTCAGAATTGCTTTCCTAGCTATATACAGATATTTTGAAACAGGATAAAGGCATATGGGGCAGCTCTGATAAAATTAAACCATACTTACTTTGTTTCATTTTTGGTTTGAGATAGGATATGTGGCCTTCTTGGATTTGAAAGGTACAAGTGCCCAATGTAGCCTGGAAAGCAGGGACATTTTTTGAGCATTGTTTACAGACATAGTTAAAGATGGATGATGATGATGTTAAATTTCAGGGCCAGCTGACTCTAAGAATGCTCTCAGAAGTATGGGCTGCTGGGCACATGAATATAGCCAGCCCTTGGTGTCTGTGGGTTTCACAGTTCACAGCTGCATAGTCAATCAACTGCAGGTGGAAAATATTTGAGAGGAAAAAAAAAGCCTGCACGCAACATGCACAAATCATCTTGTTCTTGTCATTACTCCCTGAGCAATACAGTATAATAGCTTACATAGCATCTGCTCTGTGTTCTGTATCATATGTAATCTAGGGATGATGTAAAGTGTACAGGAGGTTATGCACGGCTGTTTTAGAGAAGGGGCTCGGCCATCCATGGGTTTTGGAATCTGCTGGGATCCTAGAAGCAGTCTTCCATGAATATCAAGGGAAGACTATGCCTTCTTTGGTTGGAGTTTCAAATATATACATGGCTCCTGTGGAACAGTGGGTGAAATCATTGGTGGCCCTGAAGGCAGGACCCCTGTGTGATAGCTCAGTGCTGTATTCTCTGTGCCCATGGGCTGAGCACATCATTGCTTCATGACTGACATTGCATTTACCCTCATCAAGTGCTCATGCTCTTGGTGTTTCTTTCAGGAGGGATGGAGTCCAGGTCTTTGGTTCGGGGTGTTGGCGGCCGAAGCATCAGCATGAAGGCACCCAGCTCTTCCCGAGCCAGGCATGGGCCTTTCAAGACCATGCCCCTGAGGTGGTCCTTTGGAACCAGGGAGAAACGATCTGGGGCATCTGTTGAGTTGGTGGAGTACCTGGAGTCCAGACGAAGACCTCGGTCTACCAGCCAGTCCATTGTACCACTCTTGACTCGTACTGCTGGGGGGGATGAGAAATCAGCATCACCAAGGCCGGATGTCACCCTTCCTGCTAAAGGTGAAGACAGTGGGCGAGCCTATGGGCAAGGAGCAACCGAGGTGTCCTGTTCCTCAGGCCACCTCAACCATTATCTGGCCCTGGGGTCCTTAGATGGTCTGGACACAGCCAGAACACGAACAGGAAATGCAAGTCAGGATATCAGGCTCCCCAAAAAATTTGATCTGCCCCTCACTGTTATGCCATCAGTGGGGAATGAGAAACCAGCCCGTCCTGAGGGCCAGAAGATAGCTACCTGGAAGGGAAGTGGCCAGGTGGGAAGCCAGAGCAATCCACCTTCCCCTTCTACTGGGCTCAGAAACTTCAAGGACAGTAGCCGAGGTACTTTACTGAAGATGAAGGTGGCTGAGGAGGAACGGGCCTCTGACAGAGACAGGGGACAGGGGCCATTCACACTTCTGAAGTCTGTGTTTTGGAAGAAGGAACACAGGAGGGCTGTTAGAGCTGAGGGTTCCCCAGTCCCCTTGGTGAGTGGTACGCTGAGCCCTTCCATGAATGAGCAGGCTGGAGGCTCATCTCCTGCCTTCAGGATTCGAGAGAGCCCAGCCAGAGGCCTGGGCAGCTACTTGGAGAGGGACATCCGGTCTGCACCCAGTTCTCTCCACCTCCCTCGCAAAGCTGGCAGGCCCCCCAGAGCTAGTGCCTCTGGCACCTCACAAAGGACTATTCCTGGGGAACAGACTTCTTATGGCACCCTGCAAAGGGTGAAATACCACACTCTCTCCTTAGGTCGAAAGAAATCCTTACCCGAGTCCAGCTTCTGATGGAACAATTTGGTATTATGTGATGTTGCATTCTTGGGGCTGTGCACTGAGATGTAGGCAACCTGTGTCCAGAGTGGATTTTCTAGAATCCAGTTGACTTGTGATCCCCAAAAGATAAAAAATGTTTGATTTTTCGCAACTGGACTTCCAATGCCTAATGTCCCAATAAAACAAAGTCCAAATATTAGGTTTTTATTTTTGAGTGCTTTGATATAGCCTGGTCACTAGAGGGTGCTGCTGGGCCAACATTATCATTTCAAGGGAAGAACTAGTATTTAGTTTGTATAAGTCTTGGGCCTGCATACTTGTACTAAATATAGTTCATGGTGTCATGTCAAATACTATCACCAGCTTGCTTACTCCTCCCTCACTTCCCTCCTCCATTCCTTCCCTCCTCCCTTCCTTCCTTTCCTCCTTCCTTCCTTCCCTCCTCCCTCCCTCCCTCCGTTCCTTCCTGGATCTTCCTAGCAGGAAGGTGGGTACGACTGTTGGAATTCTAGCAGCCATTGATAAACAAGTGGATAGGGCCACACTTTGGGCTCCCTCCTCCCCTCCCTCCTCCCTTCCTTCCCTCCCTCCTCCCTTCCCTTCTCCCTTCCTTCCTTCCTTCCTTCCTTCCTTCCTTCCCTCCCTCCCTCTTCCCTTCCTTCCTTCCCTCCCTCTTCCCTTCCCTCCTTCCCTCCTCCCTTCCTTCCCTCCCCCTTCCTTCCTTCTTTCCCTCCTCCCTTCCTTCCCTCCCTCTTCCCTTCCATCCTTCCCTTCTCCCTTCCTTCCTCCCTTCCTTCCCTCCTTCCTTCCCTTCTTCCTCCCTTCCTTCCTTCCCTCCCTCTTCCCTTCCTTCCCTCCTCCCTTCCTTCCTCCCTTCCTCCCCTCCCCCTTTCTTCCCTCCTCCCTTCCTATGCTTCCTCTCTCTTTTTTACTTTTTCTTTAAATAATGGCTTCCACAGAAAATCTTTTCCTTTTCATGCTTATCTGGGATAAGTTTCAAAGATGCCAAGAAAAGGAAACAGTGACAGTGGTGATTCTATGAGAGATGGAAGAGAAATGATTATTTTAGGAGCATATTTAATATAGAGCAAACTAATTGTATTAAAGTTTTTCAAGGTATTTTAAAAAAGATAACTATTTTGATACCAGGATAAAAGATGTTTTTAAAAATGTGAGTATAACCTCTCTATGTACAATTTTAATAAAATTGTGCCTGTGAACATGGAAATGGCTGTCTGGATCTCTCAGGTTTGAGAAATGACTTGTTCTACTCCTGTTTCATGAACTTGGCTCATTGTTACCTGGATTCTTCTGGAAGATTTTTAAATGCTGTTAAGATGATTTGCCCCTCTTTCCATCCTTTTTTCTTTCTTCCTTTCCCTTCTTTCCTTTAAAAGTTTCTATTATTTTATTTTAATTAATTTATTTTTTGTGACAGGCTCTCACTATGTAGCCCTGGTTGTCCTGGAACTCACTATATAGACCAGGCTGTCCTGGACATAATAGAGATCCATCTGTCTCTGCTTCTTGGGTGCTAGAATTAAAGGCATGTGCCATCATTCCTGGCTTATTATTTTTAGACAGAATCTTATTCGGTAGCCCACATTGGCTTTGAATTCTTGGCAGCCTTCCTGTTGCAGCCTTCTGAGGGATTATGGGTATGAGCCACCATGCCCAGCTTTTGACTTCATATTTTCTGAAGGAGATGTCTCTGGCCTCATCCTCTTTCTAAAGGACTTAGACTCACCAGCACATGGGAATCTGAGGCTGCCTCCAGGGCCCTGCTCTTCCATGTGTTTGCCTAGGCTTCAGGACCTGGTTGTACACATATCCTATCACTTCTTAGTAAGAAGCTTCAAAGCCTGGAGCCAGCAGGGGAGGTCATGGTAACTCTGCAGGTAAACATTTTCTAGAGGGGCTTCCTTTCTGTCTGACAGGTTATTCCTCTGAGGCTCCTGGCTCTAGAACACAGTCTCCCCAATGGTATGTTACATGTCTCTGCAACCTTTTTTTTTTTTTTTTTTTTTTTTTTTAAGAAACAATGGGATCCTTTTCTTTACCCCAGTGAAAAGGCAATTTATCTTTGATCTGAGCAGCAGTTAAACAGATGATATAGTTAAACAGATAGATGAACAAGAAGCCAGGAATTCCAGCCACCTGACCCCAAGGGACCATATGTTCCCCAGGAGACCTGTGTGTTTATATTATCACATAAGCCCGAGTGTCTTCAAGTCTTAGCTTGATGTGCTCATGGGCAGTGTGGAAGCTATTGTTGTCCATTTGCTTTTGGATGACAGGAGTTTAGGAACCTTCTAACTTTACCTGGTTTATTCTCTGTTGGTCTTCAGGGCAATTTATTTCTATGCTGAGCTTAGCCTCACTGTTTACATTCTCTAAAATTTGTTGTAACTCAGGCATACACCCCAGGCCTTTTTCCCCTCAGGACCCAGTCTCTGAGATCATGAAAGGTTCCCAGTTATTAACAATGTTTTCTGATGCACTACACATTGGGGCATATGCTCCAGGCTCTTAACTTTGGAGGATTAGAAAGAGGCAGTAATGCTTGGACCCTGTGGGTATCTTTTGACAAGGTCCCTTTGTAGCCCCTCCCCTGAGGCTGCTAGAAGGAACTGGTAGGAACAGAGCATGGGAAATGGCCGAGTCCAATATCCACCCAGATTGGACAGTGGGACCGTGTTCCAGCCTTGGCTGTGCTTTTGATAGATATCTCATGAGATTTCATTGGAGGAGGAAGCAAGGCAGAACTCCCTGGGTGCCTTTTTTCCCAGTCATGGTTGTGACACCTTTATAGGCATTTGTAAATCAGGTTAGGCAGAAGTGGAGCCAGTTCTGTACACAGAGAGGCCTCATCTTGCCATGGAAGCCCCATACTCTGCCTGGGTGTAGCCCTGCTGTCCGAGACAGGGTCCTGGTCTGATTGTAATAGCTCTATCTCTCCTAAGGTGACCTACAGGTTTGAGACCCTCTTCTTTTGCCCTCCACTTGTCCACTAGTGGAAGGAAGGACTTTGGAGGTCATATAAATGATGCCAGAAGCTCCAGGGGTCCTGGTGGTCAGAAGAGAAAGCTGGGAAGCCTAGGGGAGAATACAGTAGGAGTTCCATAGCAACAGTTCTGGGAACTAAGGAGGTGGACTGGTGACATCCTATCATCAGCTGTCACCTGCAGTGAGCCAGCATCATGTGCTGAGGGATGGTGAGTTAGTCAAGCTCTCTGTTGATGCAGTTACTTTCTTGCAAAGATGGCAGTTAATATTTATAGTGGACAGTAAAGAGCACTTCACTGTATGCAAGACACCCCTAAAGCGCTTTGCAGTATTAACTTGTTTTACTCATCATAATCCTTTAAAAAAATTTTAAGATTACATTACAAAAATCCAGCAGTTTCTATTCACATATATCTCCAATGTATCAGGGTAGAATAAAAAGACTGATCTAGCCTGAACTGGTTTGGGGGATATGTGCAGTAAGGCAAAAAGTTTCCTCAAGTAAACTTTTAGGCAAAATCCCCTATTTATGCTTATGCATAATTGGGAATGCATATGATTAAAATCAGATGTATTACGAGAAGGAATATGCTCTAGAAAAATGATCATATTGGGGCTGGAGCAATGGCTTAGTGGTTAAGAGCACTGGCTGCTCTTGCAAAGGACCTGTTTCAGTTCACAGTAACCGCATGATGTCTAACAACTGCCGATAGATAACTCCACTTCTAGGGGATCTGACACCCTCTTCTGGTCTCCATAGGCATTGCATGACACCAGTGTACTTACATACATACGGGTAAAACACTCATACACATTAAAATTTCAAAAATCCAAAATATTATTATGTGACCTGATTTATCAATCAAACTCCTCATTATGCCACTTAGTAACCAAATCCTTCTCTTAAGTCCCATAAAAGGAAACCCCAGACAATTGAGGCCCTTGAGTGCCTTCACTTATGTGGCCCACTGCCGATCTTGATGGTGCACTAATCTGTACAGTTGTTTCACTCTGAATAAAGTTACCTTGCTACTTTTACAAATCTGTGTGAGCCCTTATTTCAGTCCTTTGATTAAGTGGCCAAGAACCTGGAAACACCTGGTCTAGACACTGACAGCAGGTAACAAAATTGCTTCTGGTCTTTCCTATTCATCAAAATGGAGAACAATTCACTTGTTAGATCAAGAGCTTACTCCCAAGTGCCGGGAGCTGTGTTTATTCCAGAAGATGACATCCAAAAAAGTCCTTGACATTGGGCTTGCCATTTGATTCATTCCTTGATAAATGAAGTTATTCTCTAAATTCCATTTTTGCACCAAATTGGGGAAGTGAGAGGAGCTGTGAAAGGAATCACGACAAACAGCAGGTTGATTCTAAGTCTCTGTGGCCTTGACATGCAATTTTGCTTTGATTCACTTTTATTTCTTTGGAGGGATTGCTCTGTTCTTGTAACACTGGCCTGACCCTGCAGTAATTGACTGTAAACATTGGAGGGTTCATCAGACAGTAAACACTGTTTCACTCTGGCAATGTAATAGGAAATAAAATAGACATGCTCTTGTCTTCAAGCAACCTATATTGTAGTTGGAAAGGGCACAAAAGTAGCTGACTCTAACTGAGGTAATTTCAGGTAAATAATTAGAAATAAATTTCAAGTTTTAGTACAAGTATATGGGTTACATGAGCCTTGGCCAAGGGAAACTGGTGTGTCACTCTGCCACTTGCTGGAGTCAGCCAATTAAACACTCAGAATATTGAAATAGCCTCACGAGACCTGGTTTCCATTGGAGCACAAGATACAAATGTGGGCTAGAGCTCTAGTTCCCCCCGCCCACCCCGAGGCTGACAAAACCTTACAGTTCTGGATTCCTGACACATAATCAGCTCTCCCCAGACGATAGCCACACATACAACCCTGGTCATGGCTTGACACTTCAGAAATTAAGTCAGTAGGCAGGCTGCCCCATTATGAACTACTTCAAAGCCCCAAATATTCTCAGGGAGGGAGTATCAGCCCAGGCATATGGCTACAGCTTCTTTTAGAGATGGCTGGAAGAGTTTAGGCAGCAGATTTAAGTACAATAGTTCCCAGTCATCTTGTCACTTACTTGTTTATGTATTGGTTGGTTGGAGGGTTTGTTTTTATTTTTATTTTTTTGAGATAGGGTCTCCTTGTAGCCTTAGCTGGCTTAGAACTTGCTATGTAGACCAGGCCAGCCTCGATATCACAGAGATCCATTCACCTCTGCCTCCTAAGTTCTGGGATCAAAGGCACGTACCACCATGCTGGACAGTTGATGAGTTTTTTGAGACAGTTTCTTAACCAACCCAGGAAAATGCTATGTAGACGATCTTGAACTCCTGATACTTCCCAGATGCTAAGATTACAAGCAATAGTCACCATACCTGGTATCCTCCTGTCATGTAA